GCGTCCAGCGGGGGCGGCCGGTACTCCTCGTACATGGCCGGGGCCGGGCTCCAGTCCTCGGCCTCCCTCGCGGCCGACCCTGCCATGGCCAGTGACACCCACCCCAGGAGCCCTGCGCAGGAGATTAGGGGATGAGCTGAAAGGATTAGGACTGCTGCTCCCATCTGTCGGGCCCCCTCCCTCGATGGCTTCACATGTGACGAGCCAGGGACCTCACAGGGTTAGCCCTCGGCCTAGTGCCCGCGCAAAGGCCTTGGGACAGCCGGAGCGACAAAGTGGCACTGCCAAGGTAGACAGGGCCTGGGTGGCAGCAAGCGCGCCCTCTGGTGGCTGCTGTGGGGAGGACAGATGTAGGGGTGGGTGCCCCAAGCGAGCACAATGGCTGTGGCTGGCAGTGGAGCCCTGGAGGGTCTAGAAGCGACAGGATGCCACCTGAGCGCTCCTGAGAGACCCTGGTTCAATCCAGTTCTGAGAGTCGCTGAGTGCTGTGGCTGTCCCAAGCTCTGGTAGGGGGCATTTCCCTGTGACACCCCATGTGCTGGGGTGTCTGGCTTCAAGGCTGCAGCTGAGATGGATACAAGACGTTGGGCTTTGTGGTCTGTAGATGAGCCTCATCCCCTCCCCCCAGCAGGCATAGAACACGGGCAGGAAGGATGGCCAGCGGGGGAAGAGTTAAGCCAGGGTATGTGGGGTGAAGGGGGGTCATGTGATTCCCAGGAGGTCACCTGTGGGTAAGGAGGCCTGAGTCCAGGCTCAGTGACAAACGAAAGTGAGAAGAGCTGGCAGCCTCTCTGTGTTGTGAGGATGGCCAGGAAGAGCACTGGAGCAAGCGAGGGCCACCTTCTGTGATCCTGACACCCAGGAGACTGAGGAAGGAGGATTGCCATGAATTCCAGTCCAGCCTGGGCTACATACTGCACCCAGACAAATAAGCCAGGCGGTGGTGGCGCTCACCTTTAATCCCAGCACTCGGGAGGCAGAGGCAGGCGGATCTCTGTGAGTTCGAGACCAGCCTGGTCTCCAGAGCGAGTGCCAGGACAGGCTCCAAAACTACAGAGAAACCCTGTCTCGAAACCGCCCCCCCCCCAAAAAAAAAGACTCAGACAAATAAAGCTGCACATGACGGTGCACAGCTGCCATCACAGCCCTGGCGGAGGTCAGTAATCCTCTGCTATACTTCAGGTTGGAGTTGAAGGACAGCTTGGGCTACATGATACCCAGCCTGGAAAAGAACAAGCAAAGCTAGTGAGATGGCTCAGCGTCAGAGTGCCCGTGGCTCTTGCAGAAGCCCCACATGTCTAAAGAAAACACACAGGACTGGAGGCTAGCTCAAGCTAAAGTGTTCTTCACTCAACCATAAGAACTTGGAAAAAATGAGGCATGGCTGCCACACTGCTGAGGCCCAGCTGACTCACAGGAGCGTGGCAGAAGTTCCGGGGTGTTACCAGCAACACAATGTCCTGGACATGTCCACACCTGTCCAGCAGTGGCACAGTCTCACACCAATCTCCCTTTCAGACAAAGCCAAGCCCTGAATGGTCCCGGGGAAGAGGATCCAAGGCAGCAAAGAGCAGGGGTCACCAGCCTGGAGTCACTGTGGTGGTCACTGGAGCAAGGCCAGCCTGCCAGATGACATGGACAGACATGGAGAAGCCCAGGTAGCATGGATGGGAATGTTGTAGCACAGGCTCTTAGCTGTACCTGTTGCTCTGTGACCCCAGAAACTAGACATACAAAGAGAGCTATGCAACTGTCCCACACACCAGGAACCCCTCTTGTCAAAAATAATTTATTTGTGCAGCACCCTGGGCTCGGCTTGTACTTCCTAATGGCTGGGCGTGAAGCGCCGCACTCACTGCCTCTAGCCCCGTGAAGTCAGAAGCAGTCACCAACCCTGGGTCCCCACATCATCCGAAAGCTTCTACACCGGGGTGTCAGTCTGGAGCGGGCACAGGTGATAAAAGTCCCAGGTGGACAGCACCAGGAGGGCGCACTGTGCACCAACACCCAGCAAGGCAGGCGAGAGGCAGGAAACAAAGTCTCCTAAGTCTGGAATGTAGGCGCAGCCGGCAGTCTCCGCAGGGCAGAGAGCCCTGGGGCATGGCCCACAGAACCCTGGACCAGGGTGGCAAGGAGCCACAGCAGAAGTCGCATGACAGTGGAGTCCTGGGTGCTGCTCTGGGTGTGGCTGTGGCGGCGGCGGCCGCAGGCGCTCCAGTCCATCAGCGTACTGGAAGTCCTGGCGGCACTCATGCTCATACATATCCAATGCCACCTCGCAGCTCTCCCTCACCACGCGCTCGGTGTCGGTGGCATGAGCTCGCAGCGCCGTCAGGCAAGCAGGCCTGGCGATGGCACCCAGGGCCTCCGCGCACTCATGCCGCACCATGGCGCTCTCGGTGGTCCGCGCCAGTGTGGCCGCCAGCTCTCCAACGGCTGCCTCGTGCTGCAGCTGGCCCAGCACATAACCCACTTCGTGGCGGAAGAGCGCGCTGCCACAGTGTAGGCCTGTGGGGAGCGTGGGACATTGGGTCAGGACAGCTAGGTGGGAACCGGCATGACCACCCACGACTTCCCTCCCCCAGGTCCCCGCCTCACCTTCAGCCAGGGCCAAGGCCGCCTCTTTGCCACCAACGTTGCGTAGGGCGAACATGGCACGGTACCGCTCGAAGAGTGGCCGTGCCTCGTCCAGCAGGGTCTCCCGCAGCCGCCCCACATCCCGCTCTGCCGCAGGGGGTGCCGGGTCCACAGAGAGGTAGGGTCCTGAACTGGCAGCCTCCCCGGGGTCCCGCTGCAGCCACTCCAGAAACCCAACTGCCAACTGACATGTCTCGGCCACCTGCGAGGGAGGGCAGAGGCGGCCATGGGTCCCCAACACCCGGAGCATGAGGGCACAGCTGGCCCATCCCCTCTCCTAGACCTGTGGCTGCGCAAGGCCTGTGCCTTCAGGCTGGACACAAAACAACGGGCGTGAGCAGGCGCTCGGCTAGATCTCGAAGGCAGAACAGAACATGTGGCACGAGGGGCCGGAAGGAAGCCCGGGGCAGATGCCCACGAGGACCCAGGAGCCACAGCCAATAGACACACGCACGGACCGAGCATCCCTCGCACACAGTGGGACACAGACACCAAAACCACACAGTACGGACTCCATGACAGGGACACACAGAACGTGGGTCCAAGGTGGAAAGTTGATTCGTGGACGCAGGAGTGGCATGTGAGGGCGAGGGCTCATACAAGTCACAGGCACCAGCAGGAGGCAGGCATGAGCAGGCAAGATTCTCAAGGCTCGGGAACCAGAGCTGCTGAGAGGACTTAGGGCTGACCCTGCCCCTGCCCCACCTTCCAGCCCCCATTTCTACATCTTTCCCAGGAGGTTGTCCTGGCAACCAGGCACGGGCTCCACAGGCCAGGGCCCCTCAGTCTCCTCACCTCAACCACAGGGTCGGTAGAATACTGCTTCAGAAGGTCTAGAACTTCCGGGTTACCGATGGCCCCTAGTGCTTCCCCTGAGGAGACAGGACAGCAGGAGCTCATTTTCCTGGTACCCAGCAGCTATGCATCAGTCTCCCAGCCGGCCAATCAGAATTCTTACCCCAGAGGTTGGCCTACTGGAGCTAAGGAAACCCAATCCCCACAGGAAGTCATCATTAGGCCAGCGCCAACAACAGGCTTTGGGCCAAGGGTGTGCCAAGGACCCGAGGCTAGGCTGGTGTGGGCGCATCTTGGCACCAAGGTCAGTGCTGGGACAAGGGTGGCCCTCGATGCAGCCCCGCCGGCTGGGTTGCCCTTACTCACCAGCCTCATGGCGCACCATGGGCTCTTGGTTCCTGTCGCACAGCACACCCACCAGCACTGGGATGGCGCGCGAGTCCTGCATCTGGCCCAGGCAGTAAGCCAGCTCGTGCTTCAACAGGGCAGAACTGTCCTCGAAGCCTCGGCTGATCCAGGCAATAGCGTGCGGGCCACCGAGTCCCCGCAGAGTGAACAGGGCCCGGAAGCGGGCCTGCAGCGGCTGCTTGGGGTCCACCAGGGTCTTCCCTATGGCCTCCACTTCCTGCTCCGTCACCATAGCGATGGCCTCCTCGCTAGTGCCCCACAGGGCGGCTTTCCTTAACCCGCTGCAGAACACAGACAGGGTGAAGCTACCCCGGGGCTGCTGAGGCCGGA